TTTGAATCCGCCATTCAACTACTGTCGTGAAACACCACAACACAAACAAAGACATTCAAGCTTGGTTAAAGGAAATATTAATAGTGTTAAAAATATGGTTAAATTATAATGGCTCCACCACACTATGCTCCTCGCGATGCTCATCGCTCTACTCCTAGCCCGGCCGCATTGTTGCTCTCTCTGCTCACACACTGCTCTACTCGCGCAATTGATCGCGACGCTCTGCACTAGGTCGCTCGCGTTTGCAAGGCAATGGTTACTGAACCTGTGGCAGCTGACACGCTATATACAGATAAGTATAGCTAATTATATCAATGTCATAAAAAAGAAATATAAGATATAAGAAATGACCATTTAGGTCATCATCGCCAAAGATGGTGGATGACATCTATTCATCAAAATAGAACGAAACTTCCGTTACGAGCCTTTGATTCGAACTGCCTTCGCGCGATTATGTGGAAGGCCAAAAATCCGACAAAACAGGCATGACGAGGAGCATGATGTGCGGCATGACGAGTATTGTGGTCACACTACGTCTCTGCATCCTTTTCTAAGTACTTCTTATGCCACTCGACGAGGTTGTTGTAGAGGGTAACTATTGGAAGAATAAGAGTCTAATTGCAAGTTTATTGCCGTTTTCTCTTTAAAAAGTCGTAGGGATTTGTTGTAGCGATGACGTAGGAGTAATTGCAACGGGTATTGAAAAAGTTACACGCTGTTATTTTTTCCTTAACTTCTTCGAAGTCAGCTTTTATTTTTTATTAAAAGATAAAAAAATTGAATCCTCTTAACAGGAAAGAATATTACAAACTCAATGTCAAAGAGAATTTGGTTTAAATAATTAGTAATTATTAATTATATTGTATATAAATACCTCACAACTATTTTACCACCCCTCAGGGGTGCAATTTCTCTTAAAATGTATATGTTGTAGTGTAGACGCAGATATCACTACGCAGATATCACGTAACCTACATATAAAATCTACATTCAAAACTCTTTTTTGAAGTCGGCTATAAATTGATTTGTGAAGGCTAAGTTTGAATAAAATTATTTTAACTTTGATATTGATAAAACATATTGCTGCAGCGTGGCTCTACCTCGAGTAAAAGCAAACATATATTTTGCAGATATATTATGGTTGTAGTAGGAATAGGTCGGCTCGATCAGAGAGGGAACATGGCCTCACGGAATACTAGCGTTAAATTCCAGCTAAGTGCTAATGTTTCATATGGCGAGTAAGAGATGAGTATGAGATAAGATCTTTTTTATATCCTATCCAATCAAACGTGATTATTTTTATTTTACATAATTTTACATAGGATGGTATCGAAGAAGCATCTGATGTCGTATATTGAAATACATTACTTAAGTGATTTTAAAGATATGTTTTTATTCAAAATCCTACCAGAAATATTACTTTTTTTTAATCCTTTCATATATAATAAAAATAAGCAATAGTAAAACTTTTCAAGGATTACCTTGGTTTTTGTTTCCTGGCTCTGCTGCAAAAATATTATAAAGTTCTTATCTCGGTTTTGAAACGGAGCAGTCGCTAAACTTTGATGTCTACACAGTACACGTAATTGTCGTCTAATATACACCAGAAATTGTTCGAAATGTAAATAATAGATGTTCTTGATAATAGGTATGCGTAGGCAAACTTTCTAGCTTTCCAAAACCACAGAATTCTTTTGTGTAATGATTTCTTATACCTACAAGCATCTCAAGCATACCACTGCAAGACTTCAAGATACTGTAAGCTCGTTTTGCGTAGTTCGGACCAAAAATAATATTAAAAACTGAAGGTAGCCGGGTTAACTATGACATTAGGACGTCAAACATCTCAGTCCCCCCCGTGACTATGGTTGCTGTAAAGCACCCGAAACGTCGGGAATTAAAAATAAGTTAAGCGCGAGAAAATCGGTATAAACAGTTTTATTCAATCAGTTCTTTTGTGAATATAGATACACACTACACTACACTATAGCTTATAAGAGTCCACTGCTCAACGGTAGGCCTCCCCCATAGATTGCCTCACGGGGGGAAATTGCGGAGGACAGGCGTGTTAACAGCCGCAGATTTTTATTATTTTGAGTTGGTATAAGGGAGGTGCTGCAGCTCATCTCCTGTTTCAGTTTCCCTCTGTCACTTTTAACGACACCTACTGAATAATTTGGGTTAAAATTGTAACTTAAACAAATTTATATTTCTTCGCCGTAACAGTTCACCCTAAGTCATATACAAAATTATAGCAGTAATGAATAGTTTTTTTCCAGTGCATTGGTCTTAAAATGAATATGGACGAGACAAAATCCATTTGTAATATCCGTATCACACTTATGCTGTTGTTGGAAGCATTACGCTTAAAATTGATGTTAAGCATGTTAACCGAGGAAAAATTGTCTGACTAGGTAAGTCTAACTTCTACCGAGAGGTCGATCGACATGTTTAATTCGGCTGGGCAGCGTTCGGGATATTACGTAAACATCAAAACTCGGAAACATGGAGAGGGTACACTCTCCACGTTTCCGAGTTTTCCCTTTATATAGAGCTATTCACACTTAGCAACCGGATAGGTACTCGCAGTGAAAGTCAGAGTTGAACCAACGAGATGGACAAATTAACAGAGTCTAGGACACCCCCTATGACACCATGGGACAAAATGGGGTTATGGACTTTCTAACTGCAACATCGTTGCATGAAGCGTCATAGCAATGGCTTAAGTGACGATAGAACGTGATCTTTCAATGCCGATTATGCCGCTGGTGAGTAGGAAAGAAAAATTCTCAAGTAGACCAATATTAGTACCCTAATATTGAAAAGCACAGTAAATGGAAGATGTACCGTTAATACTGATCATACTATGTACTGTAGAGTATTCTTGGGTGCCTTATATTTGAAATTAATATGAGGATAAGTCCCCATTATAATTACTCCTGAATGCCTCAGTAAGATGGAATGCCTTTTTTCAGCAAAAGGATCTCCTGTTCTTTACACTCTACTACGTGGTCCTTCCCCAGTATAGGCGACCCATTCGTGCTACAACTATAATAATATAACTACCACGAACAAAAAAATTTAAAGAAAACTACTGATGCGTTATCATGTTTAATGAATACTATGATTAAGCGCCTCGCAATTATACTGGCTTTCAGTACCTTTCAATCCGAAAGGAACGCGAATTTATGTTTTTATTATTTTCTAAGAAAAAGCCCTTGAGTAGGGGGTATGTTTAAACGATGGCCGTGATTGGCCACTGGCGTGACTCTATCTTTTTATACCTTACTCGTTGCTCTCATTGACACTTGTCAACTTTAGTAAATATTGTCTTATGATAGTATATTTGTACACGAAGCTCTAATCTAAGTGACTATCGTCTGACCTAAGGTCAAAATTTTGGCTGAAGCAGAAACAACTTCAGCAGTTAAGCAGAAGAAAAGATAACAATTCAAAATCCGATATTATATTTGTATTTCTAGATAAATAAATTGTACAGTTAAACTACAAGTTTAAAAATAACTTAGTTTATTTAAATGAACTTTTTTCTAATTTCTAAATTTAATTCCCTTACAATTGCCTTGAAGGCGATAAGGCAATTTAAAGCAAATTTTCGTTGTATACGATCCCTTAATTTCCTTTTCCCCACATGTGTAAATATACTGGCCTTCTACGACGTTGATATTCGCAATACATTTTCATCCGTCAACGAATCGCTAACTCGATATCCATCCGATCCAGTTACCAGTTACCCTTAGGGCTTTGCTGTACTATCGACTTAAGGTTATAGGGCGCTATATTCTTTCTGCCTTTGGATGTATTCATTTTTTTATTGAATAGGGGTGATAAGTGAGCATATAGTCCATCTAATTGTTAGCGGATGCTGTGACCCATATACATCTACATTTATTCTCAAGTATCAAAATGCAGTTGCGTTGTTACTCTTTGATCTCTAAGACGTAATGCCTTGTTTTCAGTAAAAGACTTTCAGGTTGGTGAGCGTAGAGCACTCACATACAAAACACAGTAGCACAAAGCTGCTTTTTAACGCTATTATTCTGTGAGAGCGTGGTCTTGCCCTGGTCAAGCCAACCCATGCTCTAAACATTATATAGCTGCAGCGTGGCTCAACAACGTATATGCAGATTACAACGTATGTCGATAGTACTGCCAATTTGTAGGTTTTGGATGTTACAGTTATCTGTTGACTGCGAAGTTTTGAGACTGGATGGTTCCTTTTATGCGATTTAGGCCGGTTATACTTTATGTATATAATGCTGTATTTGTAAATACTCTCTCGACAATAATATCTTATAAAATACTCTTTATCGAGATTTATTTTTACTCCTTGCGAATGATCAACATACCAAACTAAACAAATACTGAGACAAAACAAAAGGCGGGCTCATCGCTACATAAAATTTTCTTCCAGACAACACAAAAAAATTAAATAAAAGGGGAAAATAGAAGGGTTAGGGAGACAAATAAATAAACCTGTTTCAAATGTAAAAATAGAGCAGGTTTACATAATGATTTCTTATATTTACGTGAACACTACACATTTAAATAAATCTACTTTTTCCCGACGTTTCGAACACTTTACAGTACACACGGGGTCAAGGGGGGATTAAGGTGTATACTTTCCCAATGTCATAGTTAGCCAAGACTACCTTCAAATTAATATTTAATTACATAAATCGGAAATATAAAATAAGTTAATATACGCCATAAAATCCTTAAAAACGAGTACTACTTATTTAAATAGAGCAGCTTTAATCGATATAGGTAGCAAGAGTTGTATATTTACCAGAATACATATCAAATTAAATTATTATTATTATTAATATTTTGTTGCATTTAAATTGAACATTACATACGTAAATAATGGATTCAAAAGTATTATTTATATTACAAATTATATATATATATATATATATATATATATATATATATATATATATATATATATATATATATATATATATATATAATTATTATATATGGTGTGGCTAATCGCTAGTGCATTAGGACCCTTACTTGCCCCTTGCCACAGCGAGGCTGGGCGGGCCTCAGTTGCTATAAGTCCACCGCGCGGGGCGGATGTGCCCCAGCTTCACTTACCTCGTGTTCCCGCCTTTCGTAACCTGTCTACACCAGATAACAAACCGCCCGCAATTATATTGGACAATGGACATCGTGTCACTAAGAGGTAATTTTTTCTATTGGTCACACACACACACGGTAGACTATTAACGTATGTTAACAATTTCCACCATAGAAATAGCTAAAGGCCGCGCTTTTCACGAGCATTATCTGTGGTATTATTTAGCGGAATGTTACTGCGGTTGTAAAACTTGGTTGTGTTTATAAAAGATCCGCACGTACGGTCTGGTTTTTCTTTATCTATTTACGTTAAAACAGTAAAATTTCTTACGCGTGCTATCCGTTTAAATTCTAAAGCAATGGCGCTTTCAAGATTTTCTTTGTAAACATAAGTTTTCATAGTTTGATTTAATTCCATTCAATATAATACATTATAAAAGAGCACTAACATAAAAAATTAAATTTTTATGTCATGTTTTATTTCACTCCTATTTTCTTTTGATAAGTTAAGTCTCATGTATACTTTTAACATCATAATTTCTTTTTTGTTTTTTAAATGAAATTTTAATACTTTTTGCGATTTTAAAGAAATACCTAATAAAGCAAATGAATTGATCAAACGACGCTAAGGGCGATAGAAAGTCATTGGTCAAATAAAAAAAAACATCAAAACCGTTTAGAATTCAAAACGTAAAACATTTGACTATAATATTAAAAAAAACTAGCAAAATTAAGTGCTATTTATTATTACTCTACGTTTTTTTTATTCTTAGCTATGTATGTTCAAAATGTCAAGTTTCTAGATCATCAGGAAATTATTTAAAAATCTATTACTACTTTTCATTCAAATAGATATAAACGAAATAATATAAAATAAAAAATTAAAATAAAAAGCCTAGATTATCAAATATTAGTGCACGAAATAACGCACACATACAAAAGTGACATAGAGAGATCATTTTAGTATAAATAAAATAACAACTGCCTGCTTCAAGATCGAAGTGTCCTTGGCACGATCAAGGTCACATCACATTCAGCTTCTTAAGAAGGCTTCTCGAAGTCATTATCGACGCGTGGGACCAATTTCATTAGCTCTATTCAATTGTATCAGAAGATATACTTACGTTTACGTTGAAGCCATTCAAATAATTTGAAAGGCGCAATTTTTAAACGTCTTGTTTCTTAGATCACGTTTAAAAATGTACTAGCAACTGTGGTACATACTTTTAATGTAGGTCAAATAATATTTATGAAGAGATTTGATTAAGATGTTATTAAACTTAAAGTTAAAGTTATAGTCTATATACGTCCCTCTGCTGGGCACAGACCTCCCTCCATTTTTGAGAGGGTTTTAGGGCAAGGAAGTGTCCATCGCGCTGCCCCAATGTTTCCTCACGATGTTTTCCTTCGCCGCCGAGCACGTGGTAAATCAGCACTTAAAACTCCAATTAAAATTTTCATTGGGACCGGCGGGGATCGAACCCGGTTTGCTCGCGTACTGTGAAATTTACAGCGAGCTTAGCGCTCACTGAGCTATTACCTAAGTACTCGTACTTAAAATCGTCCTTCTTCCTATAAGAAAATATTGCCTTTTTACGGGTATTAATTTCGGGATAGTAAAAGAGATGAAAATCTATTTTTTTCTGACCGTACTCAATGATATCGCCAAAACTTCCTATGTTATCGTTTTTTTAATAAAACTGTACTGAAAAACAAACTTAGAGTCTACCTGACGGTAACTAACGCAGTCCAAGGATACTGCTGTCAATTTCAAACAAAGAAAGCTAATGATGTGTTGTCACGTGTCGATAATACTTCACGAACTTTCTATAAGCCACCTAAGAAGATAAGTCAGTTCTTACCATACGTCAAGTGTCATATTCCTCTACAATATGCAGGAGTGTACAAGCTATTGATTGTGAATGTAGTCTCTCATATATAGGGCAAACAAAAAGAGCGATTAGAACCCACGTAAAAGAACATATATCTGACGTGAAGCATCAACGTTTCGGGAAATCTGCAGTTTGTGGCCATATCCTAGACGGCTTCAACCGCTACATCAGTTTTGATAGACCACAAATCCTTGCGAAAGAACACAGATTCCTACCAAGGATGATACGTGAGGCTATTGAAATTAAAAAACATCCTAACTTTAATAGAGCTCCTTTTCTAGGTATTATCTTTCGCTGGGTACTACCGCCTGCATGGGATCCTATAATCAATAAAATTAAAACTGAACCCAAGTATACCACTGCAAGACTTCAAGACACACTCAGTTCAATTTGCATAGATCGGACTATAAACAATAATAAAAAAAGCTGAAGGTACTCCAGGTTACTAGCAATCTGCTCAGTATAGGATTATATTACACGAGTGTGTGTATTACCTATGTTTAGGTGCACTAAAAAAAAACTCTCCCTCACTCTCATTGGTGAAACTAAGGTTGATATTGAAAATTTCTTAACAAAAAACCTCATTACCAATTTTGACCCGACTCAGGATTCAACTTGGAACCACACGATCGGCAGTCACGCCGACTATCACTAGACATATATAATATATAAAATTGTGCAACGGGGCAGTCATAACGTATCTCTAAAAATAATCATGTAAAAATGCTAATAATGAATTCTTAAATATTTTGCGTAGGTCTTGTTATGATTTATGGCTTTTGTTGTATCGTGGATCGTATTTTGTATTATCTTTAATATATTTTTTCCGGGGAGAACCACACTCTCACAGAATACCAGCGTAAAATAGTAGGTTAATGCTGCTGTGTTTTGTATGGTGAGTGTAGAGAACTTTTTACTGGAAACGAGGTATTTCATCTAATTCCTCACGGGTGACAACGCATCTGCATTTTAATTCGTAATCGAGTATAGATGTAAATGTCTATGGGCCACAGAAACCACTTACCATCAGGTGGTCTGTGTTCTCGTTTGTCACCCTTTCTTATTAAAAAAATAAAAAATGGAAAAGAAAGAAACAAAACCCGTTTTGCTGCAAACGCGGCATTCCATCTTAGCCTTCAGAGGTGAAAACGCATCTTAATTATGAGTTTTTAATCGAGGATAAATGGTGATTTCTAAGGAACACAACATCAACTTACCATCAGGAGGACTATGTGATTGTCCGTCGTCCTTATTCTTTTAAAAAAATAGCATATCTTAAAATTTACAATCTGACTCAAATTAAGTAATTTATATTCGAATATCTACACTTATTTAAAAATTTCAAAAGTGCATATAAAGGTATATGTTAAATAAGAACAACATATAATTATATATTATTTATATTATAAAAGTTACATTTTAAATAGAACTACAAACTCATATCAAAATAGACAGACAACTAGAAGCCGACAACGAAATTATCTCCTCGTACAAACTGTCACACCAAACGTTACGATTTAATTCTGACGGTGGGCTTTTACAAAAGAGAGCATCAGATTCTCTTTTATTACTTTTATTATACAACTTTCGGTTTTAACAAACCCTTTGTATAGCTCACGTTTAGTTAGGGGAGAAAAGCCCTACACGGTGTAACAATAGGACATAGCGGCGGGATAGGTGACGAAGGGGCTACATAAGGGACCGTTTTAGGACCCTCGAAATAAAGTATTGATAACATTGGGATTTATTAGTTATCTTCTTAGATTTTCAACGGTAAACATATTTGAATAATTTGCTTGCAATCATTTTATTTCAAATTGTAATATATTATTTCATCCATCACAAAGTTCGCTGTTCCCCATTCTAGAATAGAATATTTCTTGTAATCATTTCGCTTCAAAGTCAAAGAAAAACTCAATAATTGATTTTTTGCTCGGGATTCGAACCCAGGACCCCTTGATCAGCAGTCACACTACTACAACTACTCGACTCTACTCGACTCCACTAAACCAACGAGGCAGTCAAAAAAATATATATACTGTATTAATCCTATGCCGATTAAAAAGAACTTAATTTAATATGGCCTGTTGATATGCACAAAACATTTTCATCCAGTACAGTAGAAAAACCTAAGTAAGCTTTTTATAAAATAAGGGTAACAAATTAGCACACAGTCTACCAGATAGTAAGTGGGTGTTGTGGCCAACGGACAGCTACATCTGTATTCGATTAAGAATCAAAATTCAGATGCTGACAACGCATAGGACTATGATGTTATTTAATGCCTCTGAGGGCTATGATGTAATGACTAGTTTCTATTAAAAGGGTCTCTGGTTTTCTACACACATTAAGCTGCTATTTTACGAGGTATTCTGTGAGAGCGTGGTCCAGGTCGAGCCAATCCATTCGTGTTACCTCTACCACGTGTTATTTATATAATGCGCGTTTTCATTACTTAATATTTAGTATGTTTGTTAGTAGTTAACACTTTTCATTTATAATTCGTGTGAGTGTTAATTAATTAGTGTCTCTTTTTAAAATGGTAATGTTTGAATTAATTTAATTAACGTATGAAATAATTTCAACGTTTCGTGAATTCGATATTAAGTTCCATTTAGCTTAATTGAACATTTTGTTGTTTAACAGTCAGCAAATGCAAATTATATTACTAAAGGAACTGAAATATAAAATTCTTGGAACTGCTTTGAATATTATAATTGTATTTATGTCATTTCAATAAATTCAAAATTAACAATATCATCTTTGTGTTTTTTTGTGTGAACTGCGCAGTGACATTTTAGGTTTAATATTAATAGCTGCTGTTAGCTTGTTATAAAATATTTTTACAAAAAGTTAGTGTTTTTTCATGGAATTGTCGTGACAAACGGATGACACGTGAGTGTAAAAAACCAGTTAACTATACAAGAAACGAGGCATTCCATCTTGTCTTCAAGGGTGACGACGCATCTGCATTTTGATATTTAATTGAGGATTGATGTAGATGTCCATCGGCCACAACATCTACTTACCATCAGGTTTTACCATCTATTATTTGCCTATTAGTGCTACGAACGATGACTGCGTTTCGTCTTTATAAGTAGCCATTGGGACAGAAAAGCACGACCTTGACTTCAAGTAAATCTACAGGAACTAAACCGCCCTAAGACTACACGGATCGATAGTATGTATAGTAGGCAACTAGTATATATCTAGT